CGGTTCATTTTCGTGTGGCCAGGGCCTAAGGCTTGGTGATAAACTCTATTTGATAACTCAACAAATACATTTCTTTCGTTTGATATGAAAATAATAATATAAATGATACCCATTTAGTTCATTTTCGTATTTTCGTAAAGTTAAAGGTGTTGTCAGATGACAGAGCTCCAATCATTTACATCACAGAGGGGACAAAAGACTTGACAAACAACACTATGGCAAATGGTTTTGTGTAGGAATGTTGAGGATTTAAACCCAATGCAATATTAATAGGTAATGATATACATCTATTGACATTTACATCCCTCACAGGAAAGTTCCTTTCTCCACTCTGTTGTGTTTACACACATTACACACACAGGGGAGGATATACATGCACAAACACAGAGGATATACATGCACACACACAACCACATGCAAAGCAGAGAGGCTGCCAGTTATCCGGCGCCAAGGGAGCAGTTTCGAGGTTAGGTGCCTTGCTCAAGGGCACCTCGGCAGTGGCCTAGGAGGTGAACAGGCACCTCTCCAGCTACCAGCTCACTCAATATATATTTTTTATTTTGATCCGATTGGGATGGGAACCGCCGTCCCCTACAGACTGAGCCACTGCCGCCTTTTATGGGTGCTTTTAATGTGGAAAAACTAAATCTATGGTATTATTCGTAGATATTACACTCCATTTGGCAATCATATCAATGCTTTAAAGACTGTAAAAGCTGTTTTTATATGGTTATAAGATTATTTTTTTTTTTTTTATAAAACCTTTATTTATCCAGATAAATCCCATTGAGATCATTGAACTCTTTTACAAGGGAGACCTGCTCAAGTAGGTTCCACATGAAACATAAAAACATTAACAGAACAACAAAAGGACATCTTACATCATCATCACAGGGATTACAATTTACATAACTATCCACATGTACAGGTACCAACAGCTTCCGATTGAGTAGCATCCAACCGAGCTTTAAAAACATTTAGTGGCACCAGATTGCTCAGTTTCCATTTCAGTTGCAGACTATTCCAAGACAGTGGCGCTGCACATCTAAAAGCTGTCTTCCCTAAGACAGTCCTAGCAGTTGGCACATTTAATAAAACTACAGCATTCGATCTCAGGCAGTAGCCACTTACAATTCGCCGTGAGATCAGGGAGCAGATATAGGATGGAAGTTTCCCTAACATGGCTTTGTAAATAAAAATGTACCAGTGACTGAGCCTCCGTACGGTTAGTGAAAGCAAACCAGCCCTTGCATACAGGGTACAGTGATGCGTTAATGCTTTACAGTTTGTCACAAATCTTAGCGCGCTGTGATACGCAGCATCTAACTTGATCAGGCAATTGGCAGGTGCATTCATATAAATCAAATCACCATAGTCCAGCACAGGTAAAAAGGTCACAGTGACTAGCCTTTTCCTGGCCTCAAGCGAGAAACAGGACTTATTTCTGTAAAAGAAACCTAGCCTAACCCTCCAACACATTCTCACTCCCTAAGCATCCAGGAGCGACGTTTGGTCAGTGTCCGTGGCGTCCAGTTGTGACGCTCCTAGGTTCCTTCAGCGTCATAAAGGGACGCAAATAGCTTTCAACTGATTGCAATGTATTCCCATCTGCGGCGGGATTTGACGCTCATGGAAGCACGGCATTCGTTTGTGTCGGCTGCCCTTAAAGGCAATGTGAGCGTCCATTCCCATTGGATAACGGAGAATTGTACACCCGGAAGTAAGTATTCCTCTTACTGTCGATTGATTTTACAGTGATATCTGCACTACTCATCGACTAAAAAACACCAGATTATCCTTGTGAATTACACAACATTGATTGGTTTAAATTGTGTGCAATGCTTTTGTATTTTTCCCCTTCGATTCGGAGAAACAAATGTTTTTTCTGAGTAAAGGATGGCAGAAGACACTACACTACCCAGAATCCCCAGCTATCGTTTGGACTACACCATGTGCTCTGTTTGACAAACCCCGTGATAGTCCTCAAGCTCTGTGATTGGAGAGTGTGCTCCGAGGGTTACGCCGATTCTCGAACAGCACTTGAAATGGGATGGAACCATGGCAGACTGTCCAAAACTGGATTTGAACGGGTCCACCGCGTCATCATTTAGTATAATCACACAAATTCTGTGTTTTATATTTAACAATTCTGTGTTCTTTATTTATTGATTGTTCAATACCTGACAAGGCCGGAGATGAAATATCTACATACATCTTATAAGAGTATAATACATTATGTATAATATCAGTTAAAATAAGTGCTTCAACATAGTTAACATTGCTGGAGGTATGCACAAATATTGATAGATGTCTTGTAATGCACTATTGAGGAACCTGCGACCCAAGTTTTTCATTCAATGCATAACTACACCATAGTTGTGTAGGCCTATATGATATGTCAATAAACCTTAGAAAATCTTGAAATCTTGAAAGGGATGTGCAAAATAGTCATTATATACAGTCTTTAATTAACTATTAGTAGAGAATAACGAGTAATGAATATACTTTATAGGGATCCTATTAATATCTAATAATAAAAATAATGAAATTCAATAACATGCTTTAACCACTAGGTGTCCCTTTATATCAGCTCTGCACCTTTATGGTGTAAATACAGCCTATCTACCAATTGGATCAAATATAAAAGTCAGCCGAATTAGTGTTGATACTGCATGGAGACGTATTGTATGAAAATAAATGTAAGATGTTGTTTAATGGCTAATATATTTATGATCCACGTCACGTTTTCAGTTCCTCATGTTTGTCTAGAAGTCTTCTCATCAGGGCTCTATAAATACAGAACTACAGCAGATATGTAATATGTAATGCAGCCGAACCGTGTATTACAATGCCGTTATGTGATGACTTCCAAAGAGAAAAGCAAGCACACTCGGAATAAAGTATTATTTTATTTTTAAAAAATGTTTTCGGTCTGTTTCCAGTATTTGTTAATGACGATGTGCTGTGAGATGTGAGACTGAAATTGCACAGGGGAAAATAACGTATCTTTAGATGCGGATTTTGTTAAACTAATACGTTTGCGCTGTGGATCAACACTATACATTGACGGGGAAGGGGGTAGCAATAAATATAACACCATTAAACAGTTACACAACATAACAGAAATAATATCGATAGCAGCGTCCCTAGCAACCACCTTGGTAACAATGAAAACGTCGCGATTTCCTGAAGTAATCTTCGTAATAACTAGCAAACTAAAGATCATGTACATCCACTGCACACATAATCTGAAATAACAACTCATATTTCTCGCATCAAATGACATCAAAACGCATTTTAATGGCCAAACTAACTTTAAAATTGGCATTTTCCACCGAGAATAAAACGAAGTTCGGCCATGTTTTCTTTTTCTGCAGGGAGAAATGTGAAGATCACGTGACATAGACGCCTGCCATTGGAATGAATGGTGAAAAAAAACGGGGTTTGTCAAACAGAGCACATGGTGTAGTCCAAACGATAGCTGGGGATTCTGGGTAGTGTAGTGTCTTCTGCCATCCTTTACTCAGAAAAAATATTTGTTTCTCCGAATCGAAGGGGAAAAATACAAAAGCATTGCACACAATTTAAACCAATCAATGTTGTGTAATTAACAAGGATAATCTGGTGTTTTTTAGTCAATGAGTAGTGCAGATATCACTGTAAAATCAATCGACAGTAAGAGGAATACTTACTTCCGGGTGTACAATTCTCCGTTATCCAATGGGAATGGACGCTCACATTGCCTTTAAGGGCAGCCGACACAAACGAATGCCGTGCTTCCATGAGCGTCAAATCCCGCCGCAGATGGGAATACATTGCAATCAGTTGAAAGCTATTTGCGTCCCTTTATGACGCTGAAGGAGCCTAGGAGCGTCACAACTGGACGCCACGGACACTGACCAAACGTCGCTCCTGGACGCTTAGGAAGTGAGAGTGTGTTGAACCCTCAGCTTTTTAAGCAGGTTATTGACATGAAGTTTAAAAGTGAGACAATCATCAAGCCAGATACCAAGGTATTTGTAACAGGCAACAACTTCAAGTTTTGTTCCTTGTGTAGTTACAATATCTAAAACATGCTCTGGTGTCTTTTTAGCTTTAGAAAAGAGCATTACCTTGGTTTTCTCAACATTTAAAAGAAGCTTTATTTCAGAGAGCTGAGTCTGAATAATGTTAAAAACAGATTGTAATTTAACACCAGCCTCCTTAATGAAGGGACCTGCACAGTACATCACGGTATCATCCGCATAAAAATGAAAAGTAGCTTCATCCACATTTTCACCTAAACTGTTGATGTAGATGGAGAATAAAAGTGGACCTAAAACTGAACCTTGTGGAACACCATTAGCAATATTTAACCACTCAGAAGACAGCCCATCAAAGTGAACACATTGGGACCTTTCAGAGAGGTAGTTTTCAAACCACCCTACTGCATGGCTGGACATGCCTATACTGGCTAGCCTCTGCTTTAAAATGCGATGATCGACGGTATCAAACGCTTTGGACAGGTCAATAAATAGAGCTGCACAGCTCTGCTTATTATCTCAAATACTCGCCACATCATTCACCACTTTCATTGTCGCAGTGATGGTGCTGTGTTGCTTTCTGAAGCCTGACTGATGTTTAGACAGGATGTCATTTGTACATAAAAACACCTTTACCTGCTCACTGACTAGGCGTTCGAGCACTTTTTTATACACATATTGTGTGTATTGGTAGTAGGCTGATTATGATTGTTCATTGGAAAGACATTAGAACCCTGGTATATTTTAATGCAAATAACTTGTATGAAAACTGTCTTGGTCTATGTTCCTATCATTTATTCTGAATACATGTCTCCTGTTATTTTGTTACTCTATTGTACACTTAATGTTACTTATAATAGAGTAATTGTTATCTTATCTGAAGATGTTTTGTCTCAGTGCTCTAAAACTGTTAACTGATTAACGGTTTTGAGCTGTAGCTATTATATCATGCTCTCCCTACTTTGTTTTCTATTTCAGATACAAGGCACTATGGGTCGCAGTGGCAGTTTGATCTCCGAAGGTGTTCCAGTAGTGGCAGTGTGTCTAGCTGCCTTGCTCCTCAGCAATGCAATGATCTACCTGTATCTGGACTCTTTGTATCAGACTGATGAACAGCTGGTTTCATCTCATGTAGGCCACGTGCCTCAGCATTTTAAAATCACAAATATGAAAAATATCACACCTTGGCTCCAGTGTTCACAGATAGATGCCGAAGTACGCAAGCTAAAGCTGATTGGCCAAGGAACTGTTAAAAAGGTAGGTAGTCTATTAAAGGCAACATTGGCTTTTGTGTTAACTGAATTAAAGGAGGGAAATGCAATTGGCCTCAAGTCATGTCAATTCCCCATTCAGTTCTAATGCAGGATTTACCAGCCAAATCAGATTTACAAGAAATTCAGATGCTATTTTCATTGTCAACTAGATGTTGACAACATATTAAAAAGGGGTGAATTGAACTGCAAAGCTCCCATACAGATTAAATACTAGAACCTTGAATTTCACATACCAAACAAACTGGAGCAATGACTTCTTCAACACTTAATCAATTAATGTGTCCTATGTTATCAATCAAGAGACAACTCATTTTATATTTTTTTATAAATTAATTTTAAATCCTCTGTTTGGTATGAGTTGTAGCTCTGTTGTTGCTGTTGTCACCAACAACTAGTGTTGTCAGTGTTCTTAGAAGTCGTTGGCTATAACAATTACTGTTTTATTCTAGCTGATGTATTATCTCCTAATGAATACAGACAGGCTGTCTACAGTTGTCAGGGCTTTTTACAATGATATAGAGCCAGTGGGAGGGGGGGATGATACGTGTGTGGCATGTGTAGAACGAGAAAGAAGTTGAGCGAGCGTAGAAAGTGTCTGGAAGTTACCGGGAGTAGCAGCAGTATGACAAATTCACAAATATAACGGCCTCCCAAGAACATCGAATGTTGGATTTCATTTACCGATCCTGCAGACACCCGCTCCATGGGGCGGAAGTCCTGCAGCATGTATCCCCCCTGCAGCAGCAGCGCCTTACAGAGGAGAGGAGATGCCCCCCTCCTGCTGAGAAGGCCCTGTCACCATAGGTCCGGAGATTGGTTCTGATGGGCTGCAGTAGGTTAGCTTTAGCAGACCTGAGGCGACTGGTAAGGGTGTGTCATTGGAGGTAGGGGGGGGGGCAAGGTTGTTGAGGGCTTTGAAAGTGAATAGTAAGATTTTAAAGTCAATGCAGTGTTTGATGGGGAGCCAGTGGAGGTCCTGGAGGCTAGGGGTGATGTGGTCAGAGCGTCGGGTGGAGGTGAGCATATGGGCAGCTGAGTTTTGGAAATACTGACGTTTTTTGTGAATGTATGCAGGAGAACCATAAAGAATGCTGTTGCGATAATCCAGTCGGGGTGTGTCATCGGTATAAAAGTGGAACTCGAGTTGGTTTTATCTAATAATTTTTCCAATTGGAGGATGTAGGTGATGAACAGAAGTTGACCAAGTACAGAAACCTGAGGGACGCCATGATTGACTGGGGCTGTGGGGGATTTGAAGTTGTTGATGGAGATGAATTGATGTTTGTCAAGGAGATAGGATTTAAACCAGGAGAGGAACCATTGTTGTGTGCATTGAAAACTGATCTGGATTAATCGATTGCATTCTATTTTGTAAGTGGTCCACTTACCAGGGCATGTTTTTGTCATTTGAAGCAGAACAGGTTACCTTGCAGAGCTATTGGGGAGTATTGATCATGCTTATCTCATAAATGCACTCTTAACAATGTACAAGTTGCATTCATCAATTGGAAATTTGTAATTTGCACTAAGTTTGTATTCTTTACTGGAAGAACACAAACCTGTCCCTCAGGTAATGTCCTATGTTGTCAATGTTTCCTCTGCTCAGCCCTCACTCCTCATTACCGACCTAATCGTCCACTTTTCTTCCCCCAGGTCTATTTGGCAGAATGGAGGGGTCAAAAGGTAGCTTTGTCCAAACTGTCCTCTCTGGATTACCTGGAGGATTTCCTCCATGGATTGTCTATGCTACAGCTCCTGCAGGGCCCTCGGGTGGTGCAGCTGGTGGGTTTTTGCCTTGAAGACCACACCCAGGTCACGGAGCACCATCCACATGGCCCGCTCCTTAATTTGGAAGGTATTCTTGAACAACGGCAGCACCAGCAACACAATACATGGCAGGCCCGGCTGAGGTTGGCTATAGACTACGTCCTCATCCTGCATTACCTCCACAACAGCCCAGCTGGGCGGCGGGTCATGTGTGACTCCAACAGCCTGGAAAAAACCTTGTCCCAGTTTCTGCTGACAAGTGACTTTCACCTGGTGGTGAACGATCTCGATGCGCTGCCTGAGGTGGACACACCCAAAGGCCTTGGGGTAAAATGTGGTCATCGGGAGCTCACTGGGGACTTTGTTGCCCCAGAGCAGCTGTGGCCCTTCAGAAACGCAGGAACACCATTTTCAGACGGTCTAATGCCTGAGTACGATGAGAGAACAGACATCTGGAAGATCCCTGACGTGACATGGTTCCTGATGGGAAGGGTACCTGGGGGGGATGTAGTCCATTTCCATCTCTTTCAGATCCACCAGGAGTGTAAGAGGGAAGACCCCAGGCTCAGGCCTTCAGCTTTGGATGTGTCCAAGGTATACCAATCAGTGTACAGCAGCATGGTGCAAGACAGTGCTGGCTTTAGAGACATGCTGTAGAATGTGTGAGTACATTTCTGACTCGCTTAAAAAAACCTGAACGTTAAATAAAAGCTACAGTTTCACAATGAGGTGTAGTATAATGTAGTGCTTACTGAAACTGCTCTCTTCCCGAGGATTCCCTCAATTTATCCAGATAGCTCAGAGGGACTAATGCTGCGTTCACACCGGACGCGATGCGATGTTTGGGGGCGGCGTGATTACATGTAAAGTCAATGCAGAGACGTGGACAGACGCGTTTTTTCAACTCGAGCGTCAAATTCACGTGACGCGTTCTCGCGGAAGCCAATCAGCGGTGAGGATCTCAGCCTGCCGTCACTGACGTTCAACCAGAAAACATCAGCCGTTAGCTGTTAGCAGTTAGCTCACAGAGATCACAGCTCCTCATATCTGTTCAGAAACTAGACAAAAGTTAAACAAGTACAAACCACAGACTGTCTGTCATGGTGAATACAGTCGCTGGTTTATTTATATAGGCCGTTGTTATGAGTGTGGAATGAGCATATACAACGTTAGCTTAGCCTGGTCGACCCGACCTTCATTCAGAAAACAAACATTCTAAAAGGTTTTTCGCCTGCCGTCTTGTCTGTAGACTTGTCAAAGCATTAATTCATGGTTTTTACTAACCGGTATCAGTATGTTGTTACTTCGGCATCATTTATAAACGTGTATTACAATTTAATCATGGTAAAATATGTTCATTTTGTTTTAGTTGTAGCTCCTGAGCCAGCGCGTCTAGTTTGAATGATGCGAGTAAACACAGCTGGCAGCCGCGGTGAAACTCGAGCGATTAGAGCGAAGCGAATATTCGCATCGTGTCCGGTGTGAACGCACCATTAGACTAGAGCGATGCGATAGGAGCGATTAGAGCGAAGCGAATATTCGCATCGCGTCCGGTGTGAACGCAGCATTAGACCTTTATGCAAACGGGTGTATGAACTTGTTAAATGAAACTTTAACATGTATTGTTTGTCATGGTTGCTAAAAAAATGTAATAATAGTAAAGATGCACCATCAAAGTTTTGAACTACCGAACAGGAAAACTCAATTTAAAGTGTACTACTAATGTGCTTTATAAAACTTCTCCTGCTTCTCTGTTTACCCCTCCCATTGCTCTTCTCCTGCTACACATGTCCTGTGCTCATGCCAAGGATACCTCAGAGTAGAAAAACAGCTGTCAGTAAGATCTGAGCTTCATATGAGCCAAGAACACAGCATTCCCAAAGAGAGGCTAACCAGGGGACATTGCAAAGAGGACGCTGACAGCACACATACAGACAGGACAGAGCCGCCCGGAGCAACAACATGACCGTGTAAAACATTGTGTGGGATAATTTCCTATTTCATAGATACAATGTAATATGACGTAGTTTGAATCCAGCTGCACAAAGAGCATAACCCTCGGAGATACATGTGCTTTTACGGTACTTGAGCTTGGAGTGATTCAAAATGACGGACTCATTATAGCAAGAATTTATTATGTATTAAATACATTTTATTGAATATATGATGTCACAAAATCAGTCCCAAAATGTTTTACTGTCCCTAGAACAGGGGTGTCAAACTCAATTTCATCGCGGGCAACATTAGCATTATGGTTGCACTCAAAGGGCCGGTTGTAACTATATAAATATATAAAATAAGGTATTATATTACATTATTGCCTCTGAATTGGATTATTATCAGATAGGGTAATAACTTCATAATTAACTATGTCTGAAAGCAGAAGTCTGGGGCAAATAATTGCAAGTCTCTTAAGTGTGCATGTCACAAAACGAGATGCATTGTGGGACATGTACTTTATGGGCAACGTACTTCTCTAAAGTGGCATGTAACTGTATAATAAACATATTATATTATTTGCAAGCTCTTGCGGGCCACATGAAGAGTTTGACACCCCTGCCCTAGAAGGTCTGTTGAGAAGCGCAATGGATTTCTGCTTAAATGTTTCTTTAACCATGTACAATTTGAAATGGTTTGATTTTGTAATATTATGAATTCATGTTTTTCTTCATAGTTTTGCTGAACATATCAATGTATATGTAACTTTGCAGGATAACCCTGACTATGGCCATGTCAAGCGTTCAATGATTTTACTAGTTTAGTTATAACAACTTGTGACAGATAGGCCTACTAAGGTTTTTGAAGCTGAATGTCATTGTGAAGCTCAGTGAGTGTGATGCAGCAGAGCTAACAGCTAGCTGCTGGTTCCTTACACACAGCTGTAAGCCTCCATGTGAATGCTGTGGCACGTGTGTTCGGTGGAGTTTGCCTCCTGCACAGATAACCTTTGAGCAAGGCAGCAGCTGCCAAGTGCTTAGAGCCCCTGTCTCTGACTTGTCTCCATCAATGCATGTTGTGAGCTCCTGTTTGTGGATGAGTGAAACAATTTCCACAATGAACAAATCATTTCTGATTATTTTTATCTTTATTCATTACATTGTTATTATTATTATTATTTGATGGAAAGAGCTTCAATAAACTTGATATAACCGTTTTTTGTTATTTAAAAAAAATATTACAACAGCGGGGACTCGTGGATATTGTCGTCAGATATTTGAAACCAACAAATAATGTAACCCTTAAATGGTGTCTGTATGCTGGGGGATAAAATGGGTGTGATAACAGTGTAATATGTGGCTATAACATGGGTGTATCACGGGTGCAATAGTAGTATGGGTGTAGAAAAAAAGCGATCAATGAATTTTCCAAAATATGTATATGTGAATGGCCATTTAGGGGTTTAATAATTTATTCTGAAATAAAAATAGTTTAAATGATGTATAGGCCTACTGAAATATTGTATAATCGCTTGTGCTGTGGAGAAACACACCGGAAGTGTTCCTGTGGCTGGCGGAACACAGCAGAGAGGAGAGAGGCAGACGGGAGGGACATCTTTTCTCTTCACTCAGGTTTGTGTTGATTTTATTTTATTCCGTCCGTATCGCGGTGAGAGCCGGAGATCACCGAGAGAATAACACAGATAGATCAGCTCGTGCTCCCCCGTAAACTGCGGTCCCTTGGTCACGCGCCACCATGACTGGATCAATGGGATGAGACTCGGAGTCTGACATGATGAGGGCGTCACATTTAACATGGCTCCGCTTTAGGAATACAGTGTATACACAGTGGATGTCCACAGTGATGGACATGTTGTAATGAGACGGTATCTCCTGACAGCAGCGGACATGATGCTCCGCATGTCTCCATCTTTCCTCCCGAATGTTCTCTGTACAGCCTCAACACCACCACTCATAAAGGAGGTGTGTGTGTGTGTGTGCTCGCTCATCTGTGCGTGCTGGTGGATCAGTCAGTGTTTAAGATATTCGCTTTCAGTTAAATAATGACAGCAGGCCTTTAATTCTGTGGTTCAGTAAAAAAGTTCAAATTCATCATTCATAATGGAGCAAATATGAAGAGATCCCAAATTACTTCTGTAAAATCGTTAATCTAAAACATATCTTAATGTAGGTTATTAACTGGGGTGGTTTACTTAATCTCACAAATGTGTTATTTGTAAAGTTATTAATCTAAATAACTTTAGTTAAACGGAAATGAAATTAAAACATTGTACCTGCTTACCAAATTATGCGAAATGAACAGGAGGTGTATGTACATTATGAAGTGATATGCCGCGAACTGTACTTAATGTTACTCTGATCCGGTTACTTGTGTTGTGGCAGATATCTCAGTAAGCTTTCTTAACGCTAATGTTATAATAGTCACATTATAACATCTGAAGATGGAGGTGATATTCTATTAATGTTCACGTTCACACAGTCGGTGATTTTTGCCGGCCGTCTTTCCTGCAACGTCAGCTTTTCTGTATTTCCTTTCTCCTGTGATATGACTTGATCGCTTTAAACTCCGCACACTGAGCTCTGATTGGTCAGCAGGCAGTGCTTTCACTGAGTTGAGCTCTTAGCCTGCAACCTAACCTGCTCCGGACCAGGTTAGCCGCACAGCATAAGTTACCATGGAGGTCTAGCCTGCTAAAAAGAGAACCAGCATCGTAGGACCGGAAACCCAGAGTTTTCCCTGAAGTTAGCCCGCTAAGCGAAAATCCTGCTTCATAGTACAGGCCTCTGGCCCTTTAGGAGTGAGTGGATGTCTTGCCTTCAGATATTTGCTGAATGTGGGCACTAAATGTTTGTGTTTGCTGTCTTTTTGCCAGAAACAAGAATGACTCAACGTTTTTTTCTACATCTTTATTCAGGATAAGTCTGTAAGGATGGAAATGGATATCAATGGAGGGTCAAGAGCACACGTCTCCATTGTTCCTGCAGCTGAAATCAAAGCCACATTAAAACCTGACAGAGAGAGACCTCGATGTTCCAGCACCCCCTGTTCCCCCATCAGAGGCACTGTCGCAGGGTACCAGATCCTCCACATGGATTCCAATTATCTGGTGGGCTTCACCACTGGGGAGGAACTGCTAAAGCTGGCCCACAGGTGGTCAGAAGGCCCTCCAGAGAAGGGTTCTGTCTCAGAAACGGTGTCCAACTCCATCCAGAGCAGTGTCCCAAAGGCTGGAGAATCTGTTCTCCACAAGTCTCCACGAATTTGCAAAGGAAAAAGTCGTTACTACCAACCCTACGAGATACCTGCTGCCAATGGGCGGAGGCGGAGGCGTATGCCCAGCTCCAGTGACCCAATCCTCAGGTCCCTGGCCCAGGGGGAAGCTGGGAGGGGTCTACATGCTTCACTGCCACTCTGTCTGCTTAAAGGGAAGAGGGCCCAGTCCAAGTCTCTGGACTACCTAAATCTGGACAAAACAAGAATAAGAGAGTCGTCGGACACGGAGGTGTTGCAGTACCAACTGCAGCACCTCACCCTGCGAGGGGAGCGCGTGTTCACCAGGAACCTGACATGAGTTCACTGGAAGGTCCTAACAGGTGTCTTCTATCCTTTTGGGGATTTAGGTGCTATTTCAAGCTTGGTTTCTTTCTACTCAGAGAATAAAATGTTCTTCAAGAGGCAATCTGTTAATCTGGTTATTTTATGGACTTTGGGTTTACCTTGTATTGTACACATGGCGTTGTGAAGGAAATCTCTCCTCACATTGTAATAAGGTTGTTGAAGTAAAAAATGTGAATTACAGTATATAAAATGAGCAATAATTTTTAAAGCTACTTATTAGCAGTGCTGTTTGTTTGTACTGCTCAGAAACACACAGAGTTAGAGCTGAAGAAGCCATGGGAGCCACTCTCAGGACAGTTCTGGTGTAGGCTCCACTCTCAGGACACCTCCACTGTCAGTACAGGAAGTGACGATTCTGACGAACACGTACCCGCCCCCCGAAGGACTCGTCTGATTGAAGTTTTCAAATCACCATGGAGACTCATCACGCTCTCCATGCACTTTGGGTCGGCCTTGGTCAAGCCCTTTTGACCCCCCAGTCTGGTTCTCGTAAAAGTTGACTTAGCCATTTTTCGCTCAAATGACACCATGGAGGAATGTAACGGGAGTTTAACTTTTCCCCCTATTTTCCCCGGTTCTATTAATTTTAATAGGGTGGGTGTGTCCCCACGGCCTGTGTCCAGCCGTTCCCCCCCCCCCCACTCATCCATATATTTAGGGATTTTGACAATTTTCGTTGCATTTTTCTCCTCTCCTCTCATGAAAAACGTGTTCGTCAGAATCGTCACTTCCTGTACTGAGAGTTGAGGTGTCCTGAGAGTGGAGCCTACACCGGAACTGTCCTGAGAGTGGAGGCCTGCAGGCAGAGCCCTCTCGATGAAGCACATATCCCATAATGCAGGGGTGCCCACACTTTTTCAGCTTGGGAGCTACTTTTAAAATGACCAAGCCCAAATGATCTACCTACACGCCCCTGCCCAATCTGTGTCGGGGGTGGGGGGGGCTAGTGGACTTAACGGCGGATAAACTGTGGTGCGCTTACACTAATTGCGCCGCAGCATAGTTGTGCGCCGCATTTGCGCTTCAGATGAGGAGGTGAGGCCCCCTCATACCTGCATGAACCCGTATGGCACGATACAACTCAGACTGGCTTACCTGTACGTCAATCAAGTGGCAAATGCCATAGTAAGGTTGGATCCATTTTTTTTTTCAATGCCATGCGATCTACCCACACCACCTTTGCGATCGACCGGTCGATCGCGATCGACGTATTAGGCACCCCTGCCATAATGTATTAAACATACACTATGTTCAAATGGATTATTGCAACCACTTCAATAATAGTTGCAATGTGAAGAGCTGTGTTAGTGGAAGTGTTGTTTTTTGTTTGTGCAGATGTTGGCAACAGCTGTTAAATTAGCAGGATTATATTTTTTACTAATTTTCATATTTTGTTTATGTTTAATTGTTTTCAATCAATGTTGATGTTTATAAACCTCTTTTTTTTTTAAAAATGGGCATGTTTGAAATAAATGATAGTGATACTCACTTTCAAACTCAAATGCCATACATTAAAAAAAACAATTGTAATTGTTTTCATCCCTCTGCCCATGCTAACCCCTTCCATGTTTTTATATATTCTACTGGCAGGCCATGAAACAAGCTAGATGAATAACCAGTGACAATTCATTCCAGTGTTTAGCTCCTTAGGTCATGTCACCAGGACTACACTAATGAAGGGTGTGTCAAATCTAAATTCTAATTGGTAATTTTAGCTCCATTACTGTGGCTTTTGGTCTCTTAAAGTTGGCCTGTTAATCGTTCCACAGCTAGAACAGGAACTTACCTCTTTGAATGTACATATGTGTACTGAATACAAATTTGACACAGAAGTCAGCGCAAGACAAGAAAACAGGTTATGGGAACATCTTACGAGTTGAGAAGATGGCTGCTATAGCTGGAGCCTTCACAGAGAGCCACAACTTTAGTCCTGGTTTGTAACATTAGACCAGTGTACATGTTGGGAGTTAGGAAGACTCTAAGGAATTAGTGGAGTAATCTGTTTATTGGTTATTGTTGGCAAAAATATGGTTGGAAATATGTTGGCTTAAGAAAAACATATTGTTGCGCATCCCTAGTTTTCTACATTGGTTATGCCCGCCGCAAAAATCTAATATTGAGATGTGTGTTTTCTAATGAGTGTGTGTGTTCCTCTTACAGCTCGTAATGGATGTGTGCTTTATGCCTGTCTGTGCATCTAATTCCACAGACTGTCTCTGGAAACTCAGTGCACCTGCATATCATCACCACCATGTCAACATGTTCACATAAGCCATGCCACTATCTACTGTTGTGTGGAACAGTCTGTGCACCCCTCTTTGAAAGTAAATTCTGATTTGTGTGCATTAGAATATTTAATTTATTTCATGAATGTTCAACAACTAAAGCCTCTGTGCCAAGTTTTGATGTGATAAAGGAATCCTTCAGAGTCTGTGTTTTACTTTGAGCCCATTCATTTCAGTATACCTGACAGATCCACGGGGGCACATGCATTGTTGTTTGTTGTTGTATTCTGTTTTACTTCCTGAGAGACATCAGGAGGAGCCTGACGACACTCTGTAATATTCAGTATTCCCAATTTCTAATTTCAGGTTTTTATTTTTTACACAAAAAACGTGAAAATGCTGGATATTAGACCGAAACTGTAGTGAAGTGAAAACAGACTGATTGTGACTGGAGTTTTTATTTAATTCCATATTCTTGCCTTTTCTTGTTTAGTGGTATAATTCCCCCACAACTTTTTCTTGATGCACCCAGCTTGGTGGATGGAGATAACATTTTGTTCGCATTTTCTTTGGTGAGTGTTTAAATGTGTCAGCTAAATTTGGATGGGCAACAATCATAGTCCAACTACATATGAAGTAATGTTCATTTCAAAACATATTTATAATACATATAATATTAATTTAAGGACGTATTGATGTCCTTAAAAACAATAGTGGCTAAACATTGAAACCACTGCCAAGCAAAGCAAAAATACACTTTTATTTTTAGACTTTTGGAAACTAATATTTAAACCTTGTGGGGTCTATACACTTATCCACTGTATACTGTATGTAAAGTCACTCATATGCACTTCTATTTATTCCTTAAACCAAACAGAAAAAGTAAATTTCATGTTAACCAATGACTGTTAATAATTCAAGTGTATTTTAATCCAATGGAAGCTTACAGTTTTTTGTTTCTGCTAAATAACAGTTTTTTTTAAGTGTTACACATTCAAATGTTTTACAAAACATTTGTAAGAATATGTGCATATGGGAAATTGGGAACATTTCAGATTGTTTTAAACAAAATTGTAAAAGAAACTTACTTCGGCTGCGCCGCGGTTATATCTCTCACAGTCTCCGCCCTCTGCTGGACTCTATGGGTACTCCCCTCGATCCTATCATGCAAGCATTCATCCACTGAGACTTTCTAGACGTAGCCGGCCCCGGGGCGGGCCTACCTGAATGCGCGTGCATCTCACCGCATAAAAGGAGGCCTCGCCTCCTTACTGTCATCCCTTTCTCTTCAGCAAGGCAGTGAACAACTGAGTGAAGAGAGACGGATAAAGAAGAAGCATTACATCGAAGAAAATGGACTCACCTTTGGAGCGCCCCTGCCCTTTGTGTCCGGGCTCCATAGAAGGCGACGACCCCCACTGCCGGTGCATCGAGTGCCTGGGGTGCGACCACGCGGCGGCCAACCTGGGCCCGCTTGCAGTCTGCAGCGCCTGCCAGCTGATTCCTCGCCCCGCCCGCCATCAACGGCTGGCGCAGTGAGAGGGTTGCTACGTCTCGCCGGTGGAGGACCCAGAGCTCAACGTGGTGGAGATGAAGGACCTCGAGGAGGGAGTGCCCTTCGTGTTCGCCATTCCAGCGATCCGGGCGGGTCCGAGTGTCGGGAGAGGGACGACGATGACGACACCTCGTCGTCTGGGATTTCCGGCGACCACCAGGAAGGCCAACAGCACAGGACTTTCCGGCGGTGATGACTATGGCGGCGGAGCGTGCAGGCTTGCCACTCCCCCACCGAGGCCGACGAGCCGCCTGCGTCAGGGCTTCTACGGCCTGGCCCGTCCAGCACAGCCGGCCTTCGTTTCACCCCCCCTGCCAGACATCTGGCGGTGTGTGGAGGCGGCAGCTACTGAGAACGAAGGCTAGTGGAACTGTGTCAGGAAAGTGAAGTGTTAATTAAGTAATGTTATTGAACTGAAATACATAAAATTGAAAGTTAATATCATATCCCTCCGAAATATGGTTGTAGACTTTACTGATGATTTAGAATGTATTGAAACTCCAGACTCAACGTAAGAGCTTGTGCTTCTTCGGGGGTGCTAACATTTAAACATAAACTTTATTCTTTACTTTCTCCGTCTTTATGATATCAGATACCGTCATGTTGTTTCCATGCTACACACATTCAGAGGATGAACATGTGTACTCTGTGGGAGTTTACGCTGTTGACAGGAAGTTGTTGTTGCTATGGAAACACCAGATACCATTTTGGAGGGATATTATACATATTAACTTTCAATTTTATGCATTTCAGTTCTTCAATAACATTACTTAATTAACACTTCACTTTCCTGACACAGTTCCTCTAACATACATTCACTGTCGATTGTTATTTTTTAATATTTTTTGCGGAATTTGGCCGTGTAAAATGTCCTCTTGGGTTGCCGTACAGCCAATGCGTGACGTCATTAGTAAGCGCAACGGACCCCGTGCTGATCTGGTAGGCCGTGCAGATATGGGTTGCGGTCGGATAGTTTATAAATCAGCTCCTAAATTCTAACCCTATCTCTTATTCCTTGACCTCTGAGTGAAACGTCACGGGGTTAAGGGATAGTGGATAGGAGAATTCAAAAGGACTTAGGAGAAGAGACTGCGGTACTTTAGAGAATCCGAATGCACTTTCACTATCTGACGTGTTTATGATGCGCCAGCGGACGTCATGAATGTGCGTCTGCTGCTGTGGGGAAACTATGGAAACTACAGTTTTCTATACAGCGGACTACAACATGGATGTTTAATAAGAACGACGGACTACTGTAAACTCATCTAGAGATTCTGCACCCAGGGCCGCCTTAATGCACGGGCTGACATGGGCTGAAGCCCAGGGGCCTACGGAGATCAGGGGCCTATCATGAGCCAATAAAAAAGTTTAAAAAAAAATGTAAATTAAAAAAAAAAAAGTTTTTTTATTTCGGATGTTTTTAAAAAACATTTAAATAAACAAAGTCTTGGCTTTCAGAATATGAAACTTTTATTTCCAAAATCACACGATAAATACATTTTTGAAGCTTGTAAAGGGAAGATGACAGCTCTCACTCGCCACTCACTCCCCCTGCCTCCGGCTGAAATTATGAATGTAAGGGGTATAGTAATCATAGATAACACGGCAGGGTCCATTACAGTTTGTTTTAATCTGGTTTCAAATAAACAAAGTCTTGGCTTTCAGAATATTAAACTTGTTTCGGCAAATTCAGATGATAAATACAACGTTGAAGCTTGTAACGGCATAATTACAAGCGGAGAACAGAGTAACTTGACGTCACAGCAGGCATAACAACAGCCGGTGTTTCTTGTGAGTGTTTTCCCCGGGAAACAAACACAATACACAAAAACGCAAAAATACACAAACACACACGTATACACACACACGTGAGCTTCCCCCAGACCAGTAATCCAAACGAAAATATCTTCCCTCCTTAGTATTTTGATCATTTGCTCCGCTAATCAATCAGATCGATGGATTCCAGAGATTTTTCTCAAAAATGATGACTCCGTAACAGTCAGTGGGCACCACTTCACAGCGAATCAGAATGAGAATATGTTTCACATGTGACTTATTCAAATTGCGAGTGATTGAGTGACAGATGAAGGTTGTTTAGGAGAAAAAGTTTGAGAAGAAAAAGTTTGAGAGTGGCGCTCGGGAAAGGAAATTGTTGAGGGAAAAGGAGTTTCGAGACAAGCAGCTATTACAAAAAATGCCGAAGCTTACACGTTGTTTTAAACCTGTAGGCCAGGAGGAGGAGGAAGGAGGACAGATGAGTTCTGTACCGAGCAGTAGCGGTGCCGGCCGTGGGGCCTCAGAGCTAAGTAGGCCGTCTGGTTCTGATAGCGATGGAGTAGCAGGAGAGGAAAAACAGACAGGAGGGATGTTGGAGGAGATGGAGAGGACGACGAGGACTTGCTACGTGGAGGGGAGCCAACGTCAACCAGACAAATACACGAGGGAGGTCTGATATGTCACTCATCTGGAGGAGAGGACCAGGCGCGCGTAGAGCAGAGTGGAGAAGTGCGATCACAGAGCCTGCCGAGGCTATAAATGACTTTGATTTGTTGTTTAAATAGGGGGCCTACAAAACCTATCAGCCCCAGGGCCTGATGGCAGGTTAAGGCGGGCCTGTCTGCACCGTGCTCTGATGCTGTTGCTTTATGCTTTATGAATGTGGACAACAGAGAAACATATTCTTCATGACCAAAGTTGGAATTGAAATAAAAAAGGAAAGTGAAACTTATGCTCGTCACCCTCTCCCTCCGGTCCACATTAATACAAATGATCCCAATACGTATGATTGTATGAACTATGAAAATATCTTAAAATCAATACAAATATATTTATTATAAACGTTAGTCCTTAACATCTATCACTGTGTACATCACCATTCAAACATCTTTTAAAAGTTGAACAAACCCCACACAGCTCAGTGAAATGTTGACTTTATTTGATCATTTCAGTAAAAACTAACGTTCAAATGAACGTTCTGATGAACGTTCAAAACAAAGCACTTTGGGAACTTACCACATACGTTTTAAAATGCTTAATAAGCACCGTAACTTTCATGATATAATTTCTCCGTCATAATCGTTTGTTTTCCGTGAACGGCCGACTGTTGTGTGACACAAATGCTGCAAGGCATTGTGGGAAAGCATTTTCTCCTCTCCTTTCGGTTAGGGAGGTCCAGTGGAGGTTTTAAAGGAAGTTTGAAACCTCCTTTCCTATCATTCTAGAGAATTCGAACGGCACTTATCATGGCTGCCACTGAGGGACTTCCGGGTCATTTCACTCCGTTAGGAAGGTTCCTAAGCTAAATGGACTATTCGACTTCAGCCATGGGCTGCAGTCGAATAGTCCATTTAGCTTAGAAACCATCATATGTGGTGCTATCTGCTATCAATCCCACACTTGGCGATTGAGAACATAAATTCGTAATTTACCTCATTTAAACCACTTTTTTTGTAAAGTATGGATTTAGTTGACACTACCAGCCGAGTTTATTTTGTCCAATATTTTGCGGGCAGGTACATTGAATTAGCAGTAGTAGAGGTAGAAGAAGAAGTAGTAGAAGAAGAACAAAATACGCTAACGCTACAAACAGGCACAACACTGTTACTCTGTTTTTACTGACATGTAACATTTGATTTCACCTTGCTCTATGTTTTTTAACGCACATTCAAAAACGGGAACATTTTCGGGAGTTTCAACTGGGTACCGGCCACCGAAAACGGGGACATTTGTTCACCCATCCGACTGTGTTTACATCTAAGCACACACGCTAACATTAATTAGGACTACAAGCTCACTTGGGGTTGAGGCTTTTTTACACGTTGCTTGACTGCCTGCCCACATATCTGATCTAAACATAGTAACGTTTATTGGGGAAAATAAAATTATTTAATAATTGTGACATTTATTGTACTTTTTGATGGATGAATAATGCTCAAAGTGAGGGGGCAAATCATGCAACTGAGCAGGCAATGCACCCTCGTGGCTCCGGGCCCGCCGAGGGGCAACGACGGCCATGGCCGTCATGGCCGCCCTGAAATTCCTACCCTGCTGTGCATGTCGCGGAGCAGCCGTAGCGAAATGTCCACACGATTCCGTCCACACGATTCCGTCGTGTTGAAGCTTGCCGGTGGGCATGTCTGGCGCGCAACCAACAACCAATCACATTAATCTCCCGCCCCGGACACACAAGCACACGGTTTGATTGGCTAGCGCTTGTACTGGCATATGATTTGATTGGCTGGCGATGCTTGAAAAGTTGAACTTTTCTCAACTTTCAGCGTGAGCGGTAAAGTCACAAACAGGATATTTTCCAACATAAATACAGCTGTGCATCTGGCCCTTGTTAGCAGAGAAAAGAGGCCGAACCCCTCAGGTTTCGTTGTTTATATAGCCTCTCCTGGCTCCTCCCTGGGGGCCGGCTCTCCGTGTATTTAATGTCCGTTGTTACGCATATCACATGATACAGACATTGTACATTCAATATATATCTAAACACGCCTTTTCTCCTCCTTAACTCTTTCATGACTTTTCATTTAACACATTCTAAACGCTGTAATCAATACTCCAAAAAAATACAGGAAATCCTTCACAGCAATTTGATTTCCGGTCGTTCCGAATGTTGTGACATGCTACCCACATCTGTAAACAATAACGTACTCAAATAAACTGTACCTTCATTTAATATCCAACAATAATAATATCTCGATGTCTATAGTTGTAGTGTTGAAATCAGTAGGTTTCGGTGTGCAACATCATATCATATCGCTGCTAAATTCACCTCTATAGGAAATGGTATATTAGCCTCATGCTAACCGGAGGTGAAGGTTTTTCAGAATAAAAGTCTAACTGGTTGTGCACAAGAACGTCTGGTTTTTCAGTATAAAACAGCATTTAAACTAAAGGTACATTTAAGGTACATTATGCCATCAAAACATTGATTTTAATTTCTAACAGTCCCTCCTTACACACCTAAAAGTTGTGTATAATACTGAAATCAATGAGTTCTTCATCTGAGCTCTGCATATTACATAACTCATATCATAAACATCCAATCAAAATGGAATGGTTCAAATAGCCTTAATATTACAAAAATACAAAAATACTTTGACTGTGTTCAAACATAAAAGTTTTCCCCTTTGCATAACTTCTAGTGTTAACATTCAATATGGCTCTTTAAAATAGCAGCAATGGCTTGGTATCAGAACATTTCTTCCTCCCTCCTTTCACAGAAACCGTTCTCATACCACGCTCAGTGTTAAGGCACTTGTTTTTACAAAGTGAAAAGAAACTACCCATTTTAAAATAGCAATGATTTATAAAACATGGGATCCATCATATTAGATCAGTATAGAATAAAATATCTTGTACCAGTGTAATGTAATAATAAAAAATGAAAATACACTATCTTGGAATAGTATAGTATAATAATGAATAAAATAAACTATCTTGGAATAGCATAAGTAAATTGAAATGGATTCACTCCATTTTAGCATTTTTCTTCTTCACATGATTTCATCATTTAAAGAATCACCTCGGCTGGATATTCATTGAACATTCTCATCTCTGAACATCCATATTATTTAAACTCATTCAAACTAACTCATCATTTTCATCTACATCTGTATATGGGGGTGGATCGTCCTGTTCGACTAGCATTGGAAACTGTCCCCCCATGTGATATTGACCCCTAGCATATTCCTGGTTGAGGGCCCCATTAATCAGTCGGTTTGCAAAAGCGCGGATGCAGGTTGAGAAACAACAACAACCCAGTGCCAATATCACGATCACAGCTGTCACAGACATCAGTCCACTCACTAGGAAATCCTTGTACTTTCCCAGCCAACCATCTAAAAAAACCCCCAGGGGGTTCTTCTCTATCCCGCTGTTGTCTGCTAACTCCATGCTTAGAGTAGTGAGTCCCTTCAGAGCCTTGGTTACTGATCCATCAGGTGAGGTGTTGTTTGGGATGAAAGTACAACATAATGTTCCAAACATTTTGCATACACCCCCTTTTTCTGCCAGCAACATATCTAGGGCCACTCTGTTCTGCAAAGACATCTGGCTGGTCTTGTCCAGTTGCTCGCTTAGTCCCTTCATTGCGTCCTTGGAGTGATTTATGAACCTCTGCTGATTGTAGTAGATATAGTTAATCCAGTCCACATTCTTATTTATCGTAGGCCAAAGGAAAATGGATTCCAACCCTGCTAAGATCTGGTTTCTAGCTTTAAACTCGTCCGGAACTCCCCTGGGCACCCCTATGCTGTCTATGTACACAGTGGAATCAAAACTCCCTGGAAAGACTGACCTTTTGGCTCTAGTTGCTTTGGGTTGGACTGCCATGTTTATCAGTTGCTCGGCCGTCATTGGTACTGCATAAAAAGGCATCACTAGCTGTACCAGTGCACAGGTCCCTGTCCAATCCTGTGGTAAAACTGAATACAGGGTTTTAGTGCCACAATACCACCACACATCTGTTCTGGGATACTGTCTAATGGGCATAGTTATACCTGGGAGAAAATCCTGGTTACTTAAAATCGTTGTAGAATTGCACCACTTAAGAGTTCCTACTTCTATACCTTTTAGGTAGTCCCTTGTGATGCAGTCATACAGTCCCTCGTAAGACGTGAAGTCAGGTGGAATGTCATTTATTTTTACCACTGGATACTTTTGTGCAATGTCGACACAATCTGCTGGGGATTTTTGTCCATAGAGTTTGTACATACAGAGTTGTCCTCTTGGATCATTGTGGGCGTTAAATGGAAATGGCACTGTTCCTAAACTTGGTCGGGCAGCCGCACAGGCCAGACAGTCCGCCATCTTGCTCTGCTTAACAGAATAAACAACCCAGTCTAACCAAGAATTCGTGTCCTCGTATCCTGTTTCCACTGCTATGACTTTCTGTATAGAGGTCGTACTCAGATAGGTGACCAGTGGATTGTTCACAGATTTAGCAGGGGGTATTTCTGGTTCTGGTTTAAAGGGTGATTCAGTATATTTTGGGGCGAGATCAGGGATTACATCTGCTGGTGGGTCAATTATCTTCACTAAAATTGATCCCATTGGGTCTTTTCCAGGAACTTCTATCCCCATCAGTAAATGGAATGCAGTGACGTCTCCCTGTTTCTTGAAATGGGGAGTGAGTGCGCTTTTAAAAGCAATTATTATTGGATTGTGTTTGCTCATATCTCCACTATGGCGACCTTTGGAAAAAGATAGCTGAGACCTAAACGCCAAACCAGGGGGATTGTTATTACCTTCTGCCCTTGCACTCCAGTATACCTTCTCTGAACCGGGACACCATGAATTATCATCTGGCCGTCCCCAAGCATGAATGCACCCATAAACGTCATGGCCTGTTTTATCTCGCAGCTCTCCACATACAACCACATCACACACATCAAGACTGACCGTAACCGCTTCACCTCTGGGGATGAGTATTTCCAACCCCTCCTTCAGTCTCTCAGCTGATCTTTTGGCTCTGGGGGTAAATGGAAATGTCCTAAACACAGCTGAAGTTTTGTTAGTGATATTGGCATTTTCTACGAGGGCTCGAATGGATTCGGGTTCTTCACGATGCTGTACCCCCCACCCAACCAGGAAAATGCCAATTGAGATGAACACAGCTAACAATGTTACTACGATTCTTATTCCCAGGGGGCCCCTTAAATGTTCTGACTTCTTCAATGGCGTTTCATCAATTTTACCCATGGTTATATCAGTTTGAGAGTTTTAAAATGAATGAATACAAAAAATAAAGTATATAAGAAATAATAAAACAAAAATATTGGACTGATAGAATAAAAATAATAAAACAAAAATATTGGCTTGATAGAATACAAATAATAAAACAAAAATATTGGCTTGATAGAATAAAAATAATAAAACAAAAATATTGGACTGATAGAATAAATAGGTTTCAGATGTAAAACAAGAATGGGTATTCCGTTTTAGTATCCAATCTCTAAAACCTAAAGACAATTCGTCTTTTGAGCTGTTTCTATCTTAATATCTCTTGTTTTGATTTTTTATTCATCGTTTTGTTCCAGCTCTGCCAAATCAGTCCTAACTTCCAAGAGCTTTCTGGAAGGTGCCGGTGCAGGGCGACAATGTGTCAGGTGGTGCCAATTTGCTCCTTTTTTACCTTTTATCCGGAGAGCGTGTGAAGTTCTTTCAACAACTTCCCACGGACCCGTCCACCTGGGTTCAGCCCACTTTCTTTTGTGAACTTTCAACCTCACCCAATCACCCGGCCGTACAGGAGTCTCTTCTGGTGTCTCGTCTGGTGTCTCTGCAGTTCTCTGAACCTGTGTAGACAAGACTTGGATAATATTACTCAGAGCCCTGACATATTCATCCACTTCAATTTGTCTGATGTCTAAAACTGGGCCAGTGCCTCCTTCTCTAGGAGGCCCAGGCATTGGCCGACCAGTTAACAACTCATGGGGTGAAAGATGTGTTTTAGCACCCTCAGAAGATCTCATTGACATGAGTGCCAGAGGCAAAGCATCTACCCATTTCATGTTTGTGCCAAAAATTACTTTTGCTATTTTCCCTTTTAATATTCGATTTGCTCTTTCTACTATACCCTGAGATTGTGGGTGGTATGCTGACCCAAACTTATGAATTATACCAAAATATAACTCAACTTCCTCCAAGTGTTTGCTTGTAAAATGTGAACCATTGTCTGATCTTATTATCCTTGGCACTCCATAACGGGGTATAAGTTCTGTTTTGAGCCATTTAATGACTGTCTTTGCATCTTCTTTCTTACAAGGAATGGCTTCAATCCATCTCGTATAACGATCAATCATTACTGCTGGGACTGGATATCTTCCCATTGGGCACTTGTATGGCTTTTTTACATTGAATGCATTGCACGTGTCACAGTCGTTTACGAAGTTCTCAACCATGTCCTTCATGTAAGGATGCCACCACTATTGTTCAATGTCTTTTGTTGTTCTTGCTTTGCCTACATGAGTGGGACCATGTGATTGTTCTATTAGCAGCTAGCATAACTTTGCAGGTGTGACTAAACGACCGTCGTGGGCTCTCCACAGGCCATCTACTTCCTTTGCTCCCTTCTGACTCCATTGATTTTGTTCATACACTCCAGCATATTTCTGCATGTCTTTGATGTGTTCGGTGGTTAACTCCTCTTGAGTATTGGCCTTTGTACATATCATTTGCTTGCTGTACCCTCCTGCTTTCTTTGCTGCCTTGTCCGCTGCATCATTTCCTCGGGATATTGCATTGTTCAATATTTGATGTCCTTTGCATTTCATTACTGCCACTTGTGCTGGCATCAGCAAAGATGTTAGCAGGAGTTTTAGCGCTTCGGCATGTTTTACTGGTGTCTTAGCAGATGTTAGGAACCCTCTTCTGATCCACTGTGGTCCGTCTATATGCACTTCTCCATAGGCATACGCTGAATCTGTATAGATGTTGACTCGTTGTCCCTCTGCATGCTCCAAGGCCTTGGTGAGTGCCACTACTTCTGCCAGTTGGGCCAAAGCAGGTTGGGAGATGATTTCTGCTTTTAATGTCTTTATATTTTCTCCCTCCTGCTGGACTACTGCATAGGAGGCCACATTCCCGTCGTCTCCCTTGTAACAACAGCCGTCACTGTAGAGAGTGAAGTCTGGTTGGTCTAGAGGTTCTGTTTCTAAATCAGATCTTATCTTGAGATCCTTTTGAGAGATGAACTGACAGTCATGGGGTGTGTGCTCTTCAGTGCTCAGCCCTGTAGACATGTTTGTTAAACCACCTTGATATGTTATATGTGGTTTCAACAGACTGGTCTGAATCTTGATTTTCCTGATTGGGGAAAATGTGAATGCCTGGGAATTTATAAATGCTACTACTCCATGGGCTGTGTTAACTTTCAATGGGTGGCACATTACCACATGTGCAGTTTTTTCAATGACTTTTGCTAGTGCAGCTAGGTGTCTTGCACACCCTGTCTGGCCTAGTTCTATATTGTCTAACTTTGAGCTATGGTACATCAGTACCTGTCTCACTCCCCATTTTTTCTGAAACAGGACTCCATTGACTATTCCACCTGATTCAGAAACATCAAGACAAAAATCATCGTCATAATCCGGAGTGGAAAGGTGTGCCGCTTGACTCCGGGCTTGCTTCGTCTTCGTGAAAGCTTCTTCAGCCAACGTTGTCCACTCAAGAGTAGCTTTGAGATTTCTGTTTCCTGCTTCTGCAATTATGTGTCTCAGTGGTTGTGTCAAATCCACATAGTCAGGTATGTACGTCCTGCTGGAACCTGTCAGGCCCAGGAACGCAAGCATTTGTTGCACTGTTTTGGGTTTTGGTTGAGAGAGAATGGAGGACCGTTGTGCTGGTGTGAGAGTTAGACTGTTCGAGGAAATCATCCTTCCCAGAAATGTAACTGTTCTCCTTGCGATTTGTGTTTTTTCTTTCTTCACTTTGTAGCCCACATTGGCCAGTAGGATTAGCAACTTTTGTGTCACAGCCAGACATGTTGCTGCATCTGGCCCGGCTAGAAGTAAATCATCAACATACTGTATCAGAGTCACTCCCTCCGGTAGTTGCAATGCACTGAGGTCTTGTTTCAATGCACGGTTAAATAATCCTGGACTATCTTTGTAACCCTGTGGCATCCGATTGTAAGTGTATCGCTGTCTTTGGTAGGTGAAAGCAAATATATCCTGGACTTTTGGATCCAATGGTAAGCAAAAGAATGCATTGGCTAAATCTATCACTGTGAAATATTTGTGACCTGGATTAAGATTTTGTAATGCTACATGTGGATCGGGAACAGGAATATTAGCAGTTTTAGTGAGATTGTTGACTTCTCTTAGATCATGGACCATTCTCCATCCCTTGTTACCAGCTTTTGGCACCGGCAAGATGGGAGTATTCCAATTTGAACCGGTGTATCTGATTACTCCAGCTTGTAACAATCCTTGAATGGTGTTTCCTATTCCATCTATTTGTTCTTGCTTCAATTTGTATTGCGGGCGCCAACATGGTCTGTAATTTTCCACCAGCTCCACTGAGACTTCATGTTTCACTAATCCAACATCATAGTCTCCAGTGGTCCAAAGATGTGTAGGCACCTGCATCAGCATTTCTTCTGTGTCCGGAGGGTTTGTGTGTTCTCGTCCATGATCTCTGTCCAATTCTTGCTTCTCCAATAGTCCTTGTTCCTGGCTATTGTTTCCAATCCTCCACATCGTCTGGTCTGTTCATCGCCACAGAAAAGGTGATTCTGTTGCCAACCATTCTGTGTTCATTGCAGTCTTTATCATTGGACCCAATGATCTGGACTCAGCTCCTATGGTCATGGCGAGTGTGACATGAGGAACAGCTTCCTCAGATAAATTGTACCATTGTTTTTGTTCTGGTGTGAGTGTTACCGCTGCTGCTACACCCAGCGGTCCTACGTAGATGTCTGCTACAGTCAAATCTTCTATCTTTCCCTCTTTATCTTCCATCCATGCATCTTGATATTCTTCATCTGGCCACCTTAGATAATTGTACGTACAATGTAGAGGATCTTGCGGGGGCCCATAGGGTCCCAGTGTATTTATCCATGGCTTCCAGGCCATGTACGTTCTTTGGACATGAGGAGTATCGATTTCAGTGGTGATTAAACGGCTCCAGTACACAGTGGTTGTGTCATTTTCTTCGTCGTTTTCTGGATTTGCTGCCATCATCATGATTCTCTGTTGTCCGTCATACGTCTGGTAGAGTGGTATCTGGCCTGGAAATTGGATAATCAGCCCATCTGGTGTGCATAGAATTCTTGTTCCTGATTTTACGAGTAGGTCTCTTCCCATCAGATTTATGGGACAGTTTGGGGCATAGAGGAAAGGATGTTGCAGGAGTTGCTTCCCAATTTGTGTGACCAATGGTAATGTATATCTCTGTACATCAATTTTTCCCGAGTATCCAACTGTTTTGAGGGTGTGATTTGAGAGTGGTGGTGGTTTTCCCTTTAATCTTGTCAAACAGGAAGCTGTGGCTCCTGTCTCCACCATCATTTCCACCTTTTCTCCCTCAATCTCACAGGTGACCATTGGTTCGTCTTGGGCTGGGATTGCTTCACCTGTGATTGGATCCTCTGGGCCTCCTCATACATATGGACCACTCCAAGCTGTCAGAGGCATTTGGTTCATGTTTGGCACCCCTCCTCCTCCTGGTTGTCCCTGGAATCCTCTGCCTCCACTGGGTCCTCCCCTCTGTTGATACTGTGTAGGCATGTACATGGGTGCTTGTGGCTGTAGTTGGACAGGAGTATACACAGGCGGTTGCTGTACTTGAGGATAATACTGTTGTGTTTGGAATTGTGTAGGATTATATGGTAATACTTGTGGTGAGTTTTGTATTTGTTGATGCGGACAGTTTCTGGCCTGATGATCCATCTGACCGCATGTGTAACATCCCATTTTCTGGAAACCTCTTCCTCTGCCTTTTCCTCTGAAACTTCCTCCGCCTCTTTGTTGGTACTGCATTTGAGTTTCTGGTACCGCCTACAGTCTCTGCTGTAGCTGCCATCTGCCTTGCCGCTTTCTTGGTTTTATTAGCTTCGGTATCTTTTTCAGCAATTTGTATCTTCACGAGTCTCCTTGCTTGGATTTTATCGTCCTCATCAAGTCCCGTTTTTGCTGCCTGGTGTCTGATATCGTGGTGAATGAGATGTTGTCTCCATTGTTCAGCGGGTTTATTGTCCAATCCCACCACTTATTCCAGACGTGCCTGCACTGCTAGGGGAAGGGCTTTAATGACAGAGTTCTTCCACACCATTTCAATAGCTGGATAAAGATCATGTCTTTCACCCGTGCAAGCCTCCCACACTTCTTCACATTTCTTCAAGAATACATGCATGTCTTCCCCCGGCTCCTTCTTCAAGCTGCTGAGAGCATGTAAACTGCGTGTTGTCGGGTAGATGTGACGAATAGCAGCTCAATAATTCGACCTGATGTAGTTAAATGGAGTGTCATCTGGGTCATTTGTGCAATTGGCCTCGGAGTCTATCGCTCTTGCTTCAAGTCGTCCTTAAATCCGTCCGAGCAGGGCCCTTATGTCTCCCAAGCATAGGTGGTCTTGGGCTGTGAATCTCTCCACATCATTCACCCACTTCTGACCTCCTTTTATGAGTGGAGGTAGTTTTCCCACTAATGCTTCCATGTCCCTGTGATTCCATGATTGATATTGAAATCCTCCTTTTCCGGCTGCCATCAATGGCATGGCGCTATGTGCGGTACTCCGAAGTTTTTCAGCTGTCCAAGTTTGTTGGTTGATTTTGTCGCCTCTGTTTTTCCTTGAGGGTGTTGGAAAAC